CCACCCTTGCACAAAACGACGATCATTTTTCTAATTTCATAGATAACAGAAGACTGTATTTTTTCTACATAACCCCCCCCCTGACTTTAAAGCTGAATCCGCCCGTAATGTAGCGTAAAGGCATAAGGTGAAGGTATCATATTCACGTAAGATTATATGCTATGATTTGTAAATGTTTCTCTTTGCTTGCACCTTGAACAGTCGGGATTTTAGCCCAATTTTTACAAGATTTTGATAAATTTTTCTGAGCTTCTGGGGCAATGCTGGTTCTTATTACAACGTTCTTCTGCGATCATTAATCATTAGGCGCTTTGGTCTTTACCTCAATTTGGGAAGTTGCAGATCTAGATTTATCTATAACCTTTTGGGTGTTTAACACAAAAACCAAATATACTGTTATCCAAGCAACTTTATTTATTCTTACACAGTACATTCAAACTTACGAATTAATTAGCCCTGCGGTTTTTATGAAGCAGACGGCAAAACGTTTCTGAAACTTACAAATTCCCTTTTGTAAAATGTTGAAAATGTGTATGTTTCCATTAAAAAGTTGTTACTATCATATTATAAAAAACACGTTCAAAGAGAGTGGTATTACATTTACTTACACCTAGGTCATCTATATAATAATTTAAATTGATATAACTTTATTATGTGCACGAACGATGAATAACTTAAGAGTTTAAGGATTTGGCGGTAGCTGATTGGTGGGCGTTCACAGCTCGGCTTGTCGGCTTTCTTGTACCAAATATACCTGAAACAAGCAAAATATTTTAATTTAAATGTCTTCAAATTATATGTTGAGTGAAAATGAAAATCGCTCATACTTGGCTTCCGGGGACTGAGCTGGTGGTAACGAAGGTGCGGTGCTTGGCACGGATGAGGGACAAGCTGCTTTCAGCAGTGTCGGCGCGGTCTTCAGCAGCTTCCAGCTCCCTTTGGAAGCGACGTACACGCGTAACGGATTGTTGAGATACTCCTTCCTAAATTCAGAAAAAATCATCAATTCAGCTGCCAGTTCAATGTGCATCGTTACTCACATGTTCTTGCAGTTGCCTCTTGAACAGAACGACTTTCTGGTTGGCTTTGTCCAAGGTCTCCTGCAGCAGAGCGATGTTCTTCTGGTCTTCTTCGCATTGGATCATTACTTCTTTAACAGTGCGTTCCTTCTTGCGCAGGATCTTGATAGTTTCAGCGTGACGGCGTTTTTCTAAAAGAAATACTCGGTTAAAGCACGTTGTTAAAAACACTGAAAAAATGTGTCAAGGAGGTGGGAAGTTGAAACGTGACCTTACCTTCGTCCAATTCTGATTCAATGTCATTGATGCGAGCTTCCAATTTGGTGATGATGCGCTTGCCTCCAACGATTGCATTGGCTTCGACTTCCTCCAAGCGGATGGACAAGTTCTTCACTTCAATTTCCAAAGACTTCTTAATGGCCTCGATTTTGACGATGCGCTCTTGTTCGTCATGGAGGATTTCGACGGTGTGTTTCAACTCAGCCTGGAAAAAACCATTAAAGTAGGGAATCGTCTTGAGTTGATCAGTAGGTAATGTTTACCTGGACGCGTTGGTAGCGTTCATCGGAAATTCTCAATTCCTTGGTGATTTCGTCGTAATCGGCAACGACAGTGGATAGTTCCTGTTCGATCTTGGCCCTAGAGGAGGCAATGTTCACGTTGATGGTGGTCAACTCATTGATGCGGGTGCTGGCTTCTTCGTACAGTTGCTCAGCGTGCTTCTTACCACGAAGGGCCTGCAATTAAAAACAAAATAAGAACACAAGGTTCGGTGCTGCAATTATATGACCACTTATAACGACCAAAAATTCTGCTTTCAGTCAGCTGTGAATTCTGGAACATCAAGTGTTTTTCGCCGTTAATATTTGGGTCTGTAAAACAAAAGTTTTTTAAAAGCGATTGCTTTACGACTAGAAACAAAATTGGCGCAATCGGTAGCATCCTTTCAGTGCGGTTAGAGTTTTACAGTGAAAATCTGCCTGTGCGGTTACGATCCCAGAATTTTTTTCGAGAATTTGATCGTGCAGAAAAGTTCGGTGTGAGACAAGAGAAACCGGTAACTGGAGATTTGAAAATGTCTTAAGCGATTAATTCCCATAATCGTACTGATTGTAGGTTAAGAACAATTTTTTGAAGTTGATTTTTCGCAGAACCAAGTTTTTGAATTCGAATTGAATTGAATTGATGTTTTTCTTCTTGAAATCAATGGAAAAGTTTAAAAGAGTATTTTTAAGGGATATTCCCGATCCACATTGTAGGTTATCAATGATCAAATCACTACTCCAAATTACATTATGCGCTCGTATGCACCCCATTAATAGA